TAATTGTTGACTGATAAAATTTGTTTATTAAATAATTAACAAAAGAATAAAGAGAAAACTTGATGTTCTAGTGTCGGAATTTTCTAGAAAGGAGTCAAATTTGAAAGTCTGGTAGTTTCTTGCTAAGATTAACACTTATCACCTTTCCCTGCAAAGTGTGATTTTTATAGAATTGAAAGTTCAGGCCAAACCACAGAAATAGGATACAGTTGTTCAATATTTGTGCATGTCTGTCATATCAACTATGGTCAATGCTGCATTTTAGGAAAACATCACTATATTTTATGTCTGTCTTTTTTTCAGGAACAAGCCAAACAGCTAAGGAAGAGGAACTGGGAGGCATTAAAAAACATTCTGGACAATATGGCTAATGTCACCTACTCTACCACATGGTCAGAGGCTCAGCAGTATCTGATGGACAATCCTACATTTGCAGAAGATGAAGAACTTCAGAGTAAGGATAATTGTGTTTTACCTTTCTGTAAAAAAAAATAAACTTTTGAGTGTAATTGATAATAGCAACTCATCTATTAAAACTGTTAAATCAAAATAATAATTGAAGGCTTCTGCCATTCCAGAATAAGTTTACCATTCCATATAACCACACTCTCAAAATCCTCTCCAAGGAGCTGGGATTTATCTACCATGGATTTGAACAGTGTGGTAAGATTTGTATAGGATAAAATACTGAGAACATGTTTCCCTGCCCCGCAAATCTGCCTCTTTCAGCAAAGCCTGCCTCTGATGGTGAAGATATATAATTGGAATCCACATATAGAGATATAATTTTAAACTTAAGATATGAATAAACACATTTATTTGTACTAAGAAATTATTTTGCTCTGAATTATAATTAGCATAGGGCAAGTATAGAAATGAATAGTGCATATGTCCAGTTTCCAAGAGGAATCGTGAAGAAACCTTGCCAGTACATATGAATAAGACAACTAGGTAGGCATTTTCAGTATATTGTCATTTAGTTTTTAGAACCTCTGTGTCACATAATTTTTGCTTTCATAATGGTATAAAACCATTTTTTTTCATTACCATCCTAAAAAAAGACCCCTAGGTTGGGAACATAGGCTTTAAATTAGAGATGAGGTTATAGAATAAATTGCTAGTTTATAATTTAGGAATCTCACTTTTAATCCTAAAGCCAGTTGGTTAAGAAACCCAGTCTTCAAGTTTAAGGCTGAAAGCTATTTTTATTTTGTATACCTCTTAATTGTGCTTTCCAGCTAAAATGGCTTCTGATGTGGGTTTTTTGCTAAAATTATTATATTCTGAAATCCATTTGTAAAGAAGTGACCTTTTGTTTGTTTATTTGCCTAAGACATTTTCTTTTAAGATAGTTGTTCCAGACAAATTAGTTTATTTTAAATACGTAGAAACAATAAAAATGAATTATGCCACATTTTGATACAGATCCTTCTGTATTCATCAGCTGTTGCAAGTCCATGAATCAAAACTTAAAAGACTCTATTGTATATTATATCAGTTGTGCTGAATGTTGAGCAAGGGCCATTATGAAATTAGGCCACTTTGGGGACACTTGGAATTATCAATTTCAGGGTCAGAGACTTTTGTGTAGCTCTATATTGCAGTGTTTCCGCACCCTATTTAGTGTGACATAACATTAACTAGTTTAATATTTACAGTGATGAACAAGAAGAAAAAGTCTTGTGTTTGAAACTTGGGGAAGATCACAAACCAAAAGGATTTTAAGAGGCATATTATTTAAATTTATAAAAATGTATTCCTGTTTTTGTAGATATGGATAAGGAGGATGCCTTGATCTGTTTTGAAGAACACATAAGAGCACTGGAAAAAGAGGAAGAAGAGGAGAAACAGAAAGGCTTACTCAGAGAAAGGCGACGACAGCGAAAAAACAGAGAATCTTTTCAGGTTACTGAGAAAATCTTAACTTCTATTTAATACCATCTGAAGAGCTTTCAGCTATTTTGAGTATCGGCTAGGTAAAAAAAGAAAATAGCAACTGTTCTGATTCTGAATGCAGAAGCTAATCTCCCCAAGTCTTGTGTGATTTCTAAGCATTGTGAACATTTCAATGATTTCCCTTCTTTGACTGTAGAAAATTTCTTCCAAGATTAAAAGCTAGAGGAGGGTTGCTGAGCAAGAGAGATTTTAGTACATTGGAAGAGCTGACTGATTTGTCTTTCACATTAGAAGTTCTTTATGCTTCTTTGGGATTGTAAAACAGGACAGTGTCTGGCTTTTTAAAATTTAATTACAAGATTCCTCATTTTCTACTTTTTCCCCAGATATTTTTGGATGAATTGCATGAACATGGTCAGCTGCACTCAATGTCATCCTGGATGGAGTTATATCCAACTATTAGTTCTGATATTAGGTTTACTAATATGCTTGGTCAGCCTGGTAAGTGTACCCTCTCTTGCTTGGGCTAAGTAATGTTTTAATAATGTGTATGAATTTTTTTTGTTATTTCTTACAGTACATTGCTAAGAAATAGAGATATGAGTAAAGAGAACTCTTGACCCATATAAAGTCTCCCCCCCCCTCCTCCCTTAGGTTCAACAGCACTGGATCTTTTCAAGTTTTATGTTGAAGATTTAAAAGCCCGCTACCATGATGAAAAGAAGATAATCAAAGATATCTTAAAGGTGAAGTAATGTACATTCTTAAATTGGGGGGAAAGCAGAGTTGCTAATTCAAATTTATTACATTTATTTCAAAATCTAGATCTAGTTTTAAAAATAGTAGTATTGTATTACAAATATTTGTTTCTGTGGGATTGCTATATTTTCCAGTATTATCAAAACCATTATATTTCAGGATAAAGGATTTGTAGTTGAAGTGAGTACTCCTTTTGAAGACTTTGTAACGGTCATCAGTTCAACTAAAAGAGCTACTACATTAGATGCTGGAAATATCAAACTGGCTTTCAATAGCGTAAGTTTTTTTTTAAATATATCAATAAATGTTAACACCATTTCATATGAATAACATTATTAAATGTTATTAGTCTGCAGTGTATGTATATGTGTATGTATGTATGTGTGTGTGTGTGTGTGTGTGTATATATATACACACACATACACACATACATATACATACACATACATACATATATACATACATATACATATATGTGTGTGTGTATACGTGTATATGTATGTATGGTATTCAGCTTTGTTCGGGTATTTTCCCACGTCATTATAGTTGTGCTTTTAAAGTTGTAGCAACGTTTCGGCAGAATCTCATCTGCCATCATCAGGCTTCTGTATTGTGTTCGTCTGTGAGTCAGACTTTCACAGCCGTTTCAGTTTCAAAACAGAATCTCATCTGCCATCATCAGGCTTCTGTATTGTGTTCGTCT